AGGCCCATCATTGCAGGCAGAAGTCATGGTTGAATGCAGGTCATGGAGACTCAGTCAAGTTCACCAGATCAGAGTGTAAAACAGGTGGGGGTTCGTGGTCACTAGGCTAAACTGAACAACGTGGGATGAAATGAAGGGTTTAAATCCTGCAAGGTTTGGACCTAATATCCCTGGGCCACTGAAGAATTGTAGAAGGCAACAAGATCAGTTTGCATTCAGAGGATTGTTCTGGTTATAGCAGTGGCAGCCAATATATATTTCTGCAATTTGCCCCTTCCTCCATTTTACCCTGGAGCAAATCTCCCACAATACTAAAACTTTTAACAACAGTGTTGGTGTGGGTCCACATAATAGGGAAATGAAAACATACCATAAACCAGAGATGTAACTATGACAATTCCTTCAGTCTCCACCCACACCCGTCCCCTGCCCCCTGTCTCAGGGTGATTGTTCACAGTGAGGAAGTTTCTCTGCTCACAGTGGTCCCTGTTTTTATAAAGTATGCAACTTGTTCCCTTAGTTTGGAGCTTTGGGAACTGAATCAAGCTCAGAAGCAAAAGTAAAGAAGTGAGACTGATCTTTGCTTCTAGTTTTAGTTGCTCTGTGCCAGCACGTGGCTTCTTTGCAAGATGACATAGGTGCCCTAGTTTTGCCAGTGGGCAAAACAAAAAACACAAAAAGTGTGTTACTTTGTTAATTTTACTTCGTCCCTTGTGACCAGTAGAGAGGACGAAAGTGATGATAATCATGAATACACTGGGGTGATGGAAGCAGTCGTATGGTCTTCATATATACTCGGGAGTCTAGAGGCCAGGGAGTAGGGGCCCAGCTGCACATTGCCAAGGCCAGTAATAGACTCCTGTGGCCTCCTGCTCTTCTGGCACATCTTGTACCTCACACTGTGGGAAACAGAACATGAACTAGAGCCAAGCCTGGCCTTGAAGTAACCCTCTGTCAGACAGGAAGGCCTATCCACACGCATTTTTACCGGCCATGCCAGTGCTAAGAATCTAGCAGAGGCAACTCTCAGCATTGATGGGGGTTGGAATATGGCCAGCTTCCAAGAGGACGTCCAACTGAACCCAGTTTTTTGTTTTAATTTCATGTCCATTATATTTGTTTTTGAATTTCATTTTTGTTTTATTTATTTGCCAGTTTTTAGAGGGGAAGGAGTGGGGAGTATGGAACTTCCCAGTAGTGAACAGTGTGAGCAAAGGCCCAGAGGAAGGCATGTGACCACTGTGTTGGGAGATGAGAGGAGCCAGGGTGGTGTCCTGAGCACAATACCTGTGGTGAGGGAGGGAGGTGAGACTACAGAGCTAGACCAGAGAAGAGCATAAGATGTCTTGAATACAACATCAAACAGGAACTTTTATATATATATATAGGCTTTGAGAACTTCTTTAACGTGGAATTTGAAAAGTTTGAGATGGAGGATTTGATATGATATAGAAAGATCTCGGGATCCCTGGGTGGTGCAGCGGTTTAGCGCCTGCCTTTGGCCCAGGGCGCGATCCTGGAGACCCGGGATCGAGTCCCACGTCAGGCTCCCGGTGTATGGAGCCTGCGTCTCCCTCTGCCTGTGTCTCTGCCTCTCTCTCTCTCACTGTGTGCCTATCATAAATAAATAAAAACAAAAACAAAAAAAATCTCTCAGGTGGCAGGGAGGAGTGAGCTGAAAGAGGCTTGGTTAGAGACATTTAAGAGCCATATGCAAAGTCTAGATGAGGGAAATGGAACCCAGGTGCCCAAAACACCTTTTTTTTTTTTTTTAATTAGTTATTTTAGGTGCCTGGCTGGCTCAGTTGGTTAAATGTCTGCCTTCGGCTCAGGTCATGATCCCAGTATCCTGGGATCAAGCCCCACACTGGGCTCCCTGCTTGATGGGAAGCCTGCTTCTCTCTCTCCCTCTGCCTGCCGCTCCCCCTGCTTGTGCTGTCAAATGAATAAATAAAATCATTTTTAAAAAATAATAAACAAAATTTTTATTTTCAACAAAATGATATATGGTTTTAAATGTCAAAAAGGACTAAAAGGACTTATTTAAAAAAGACTATACCCTAGAGGCAGCACTTCATGCTCTTTCTGGTGTATATCTTTACTGCTCTAAAAGTCTTAAGTCATTATTTCTTGAGCTGAAGCAGTTTTGCAATTTCTTCATAACCCACATTGTATGTTTATATTATTATAGCTACATTAAAACTGTTCATTCCAGGGGCACCTGGGTGGCTCAGTGGGTTAAACATCTGTTTTCAGCTCAGGTCATGAAGCTGAGACCCTGGGATCATGCTCTTTGTCGAGCTCCCTGCGCAGCAAGAAGTCTGCTTCTCTCTCCCTCTCCCTGTGTACACTCTCTCTCTCAAATAAATAAAATCTTTAGGGATCCCTGGGTGGCGCAGCGGTTTGGCGCCTGCCTTTGGCCCAGGGCGCGATCCTGGAGACCCGGGATCGAATCCCACATCGGGCTCCCAGTGCATGGAGCCTGCTTCTCCCTCTGCCTATGTCTCTGCCTCTCTCTCTCTCTCTCTCTCTCTGTGACTATCATAAATAAATTAAAAAAAAAATCTTTAAAAAAAAAAAAAAAAAACCTGTCCACTCCTAAGGTAAGTATATTACCATGGTTACTACTTGCTTTTTCCCTTCTTTTTTTTTTGGTAGTAATGACCAGTTCTGCCCATTTGTGGAAAACCCCTCAGTACCCATGCCCGTGTTGTCCTGCCAGTCTTTCCTCTCTGTGCTCTCAGACCTGCTGCCCAGCTCTGGCTCAGGGCCCCTCAGCCTGCCCCACAGCTCTTCATAATGTGTTCTCTGTCCCCTTGATCCCATGGGCACTTTTTAGTTTTCTCTCTCGTTGCTGTGGAGCACATCCTTCAGAACTTCGTGAGAAAGCATGCATGGGTAGCCAACTTTTCGACCCCTTACAGTTCTGAAGACGCCTTTCTTCTGCCTTCACACTCAGTTGATAGGGTTATCATTTAATGGGCCAGAAACAGTTCTAGCCGGAAAGTGCTTTCTCTCAGACACATGAAGGCATTTGTTCCTTCATCTCCTAGCTTCCAGGCTTGCTTTTGGGAAGTCCCACAATATTCTGATTCCCAGTTCTTTGTATATGACTTTTCTTTCTTTCTGGAAGCTTTCAGGATTATTGCTTTATCCCCGGTGTTCTAAAATTTTGCAAAGATGTGCATTAGTACCTCAATCTTTTGTTATCTTGTCTGCTGGGCATCTAATCGGCCTTTTCAATGTGAAACTCGTATTTTTCAGTTCTAGAAATTTATTTACAATGTGTCTGATAATTTCCTACCTTCTGGTTTTTTGTTTTTTTTTTTTTCAACTGTCTCTGGAATTCCATCTTATCAGAGGCTGGACCCCTTCAGTTTCATATTTTCTCTCCTTTCCATCTTTTAATCTTTTCTACTCTCTGAGAAGTTTCCTTGACTTTATCTTCTGCTTTCTTTGGAAAATATTTCATCTCTTAGATTTTTTTTATTTTATAACTTTTTCTCATATTTCTTTATAAGAAAAGCATCCGATTTTTATGATATAAATATCTTCTCTAAGAAAAATAAATAAATAAATATCTTCTCTGAGAATATTTGAGTTTGGAGGCTTTGCTTTCTTCTCTCCCCCCATTGTCTGCAACCTTGTATTCCTGAAGAGTGAGAGCGAGTTGTCAGGGAGTGTGCAGGGCAGAGTAGATGGTCTGTAGGCCCCAGGGTAAGTGCCAGCACAGCAGGCCAGAGTTTACAGTGTCTTCCACGTATCCCTGTGGTCATTCCCTGGCCTCTTCAGGTCACCTTCTCAATAGAGCTCAATGGAGTTCTTCAGTAGGACAACTTCAGATGTCCTGTCAATAAAGGTCAGGGTGTCTGGGTGTTGGGATGGGTGAGAGCTGCTGGTCCAGGAAATTCCTTTTTACCAATTCCTGTTTTCTTTCATCTCTTTCTACAGTAGTGAGGCCTATATATCCTGCGCCCTCTGTGAACACAGGACTTGCTGCTTTTAGTTCTCTGATAAGTCAGAACCACTTTACATTTGCTTTTCATTTTCCATAGCAAATTGACACCCCTCACTTATATCCTTCCCCTGCACCTCATTATAATTTTAGTTTCAAGAGGAAGAGGAGCTTCCTCTTATGCATTTCTTCTATCTCATTTAACTGGAAATCCTTTTTTTATTTTTTCTTTAACATGTCATATAAAGCTATCAACTTTTCTTTCTTAGGAAGGACTGCCCTTTTCTGAGATGATGTGCTTCCTCCTTTCTTTGTGCTAAACCACCCTTTCTTTTTTTTTTTTTTTTTAAACCACCCTTTCTACTCTGAAAGTGATATTAGGAGACAGTTGGGTCTTTTTATTTTAAGTTGACCCCAAAATGTATTTTTAAATTGTACTGGTCTGTAGATCTAAAATCAAGAAAACAATACCCTAGCCTTTTTTTTTTTTTTTTGAGAGTTGGGGGAGGAGAGGAAGAATCTTAAGCAGGCTCCATAGTCACCTGACCTGAGGCTCGATCTCAGAACTCTGAGATCATGACCTGAGCCAAATTCAAGAGTTGGACATTTAACTGACCAGGCCACCCAGGAGCTGAGAGAAACTTGAGCATAGGCAGGCAGACAATTGAAGTCAGTAGCAGAACATCAAAGAAGATTAATGGCAGCCTTCTCCAGTGGGAAGAGGCAGTCAGAAGGGTTGAGCTGGGGAGGAGGGTTCACACCTGACCAGCCTTCCTTCCTAAAATTAGAGGTAGGCAGGCTCATCTTCTGGCAAGTTGGGGAGGCCCTGCCCTGGGGCACGTTTCCATGGTTTCTTGAAAGTTTCTTTCCTGAAGGTCTGTTTTAAAGAATGAAACTAGGTGAGAAGAGGGATGTATTTGTGCCTGGACAGTCAGTGTGCGATTACACGAGGCTGACAGTGGCATCCTGAAGGGCTGGGGCTGGGCACCCTGTCCAGCCGGCATCTGGGAAGCTGAGTCCAACGGTGTCCCCTTTGTCTCTGCAGGACTGGTCCAGATCCCTGTGAGCATGTACCAGACTGTGGTGACCAGCCTCGCCCAGGGCAACGGGCCCGTGCAGGTGGCCATGGCTCCTGTGACCACCCGGATATCGGACAGCACAGTTACCATGGACGGCCAGGCTGTGGAGGTGGTGACGTTGGAACAGTGACATGCAGCCATACCACCGCATTGTTTTCTAGTCTACTTCAAAATTTTTTACACGTTTGCAGAGGTGCAATCAAATGGAATTAAGTCTCTCGACTTTGGAAGAAAAGTTTTGTTAACCTTTTTTTTAAAAAGGAAGAAAGGCAGTGGGTTTTGGAATTGCATTTTTTAAAGCACCACTCTTGATTTTCTGGGATTGGTGGAATAAGATACCATGTTGTCAATTTCACTGTCCCGAAAAAGCCAAATTATGGCAGGACTTCTTTCTGCAGAAACATGTGTGTATACTTACGTGTGTGTATGTGTGAGTGTGAATATATGTATATGTGTACATATGGATATACACATTTACATATATATAAAGTATATATATATGTATGTATGTATGTGTGTATATATATATATATATATATATATATGAAACCCGCATGGAATTATCTGTATGAAATCAAGGTGAGCTGTGGAAAAAAAATAATTCACCCAGTTTAGTGGGTGTAGGGTACGTGGCCAGACACAGTCACCCGGTTTTTGTTCATACCAGGGTCATGCGTTGAGCTACTGACAAACTCAGGCGGAGGTGACCATGCCCTTCACCAAAGCTGCCTCCCAGTGGCCACCCAGAGCTCTCCCTGCTGGACTCACCTGAGGAAGGAGGTTCCAGAATGGGGCAGGGTCCAGAAGTTGTGTTTGCAAGGTCCAAGGGCCTCGCGGTCTGGCAGCTGAGAGCTCCTCGGGCTAGCCCAGGTGCTGACCTTGCCATAGGCAGGTGAATGTCCTTAAAGCCCCCTGCAGGAACAAGAGGGTTTTCCTCAGCCTCCCAATCTCTTCCCCTTCCCAGGAAGCCTTCTTGATCTCACGACTTTTAAGAAGTTGCTTTGGTTTTAAGGTCAGTCCTGAATTGGTCATGTATATGAACTGAAGGTAACAGAAGTATTAAGGGTTTGAGGAGCACGTGCGTGTTAAGTGTGCTTGTGGGCGTGTGCTTGGAGGGGAGAGAGTGGGAGGGGGAGGGGAGGGGCGGGAAGGGGAAAGGAAGGAGGGAGAGAAAGATCTTCAAAGACCAGGGCACACCAATGGGAGCAATTTTTTTCCTTTCCAGTAACTTTCTGTAGCTTCACAGAGGAGACTGGAACTGACAGGACCGCCTGGCTTGAGGAAGGTTGCTCTTCATCCTGCGGGGGGCTTTGGAAGAGAAAGGGACCTGGGTGTTTCCGGCACCCCTGGAGCAGACCCTGTTTCAGAAGGGACACAGCAGTCTTCCCAGGTTGCAGCCTGGTGCGCCAGGCCCCACGGCTTCCTCCTCACGGGCGTTGACTGGTCTGGGTGTTCTCTGTGAAATCCTGTGATTTCTCAGCTGCAAGCCCTGAGTCTCCAGTGGCTAAATTCACCTGACTTCTCGACAGGCCAAATCTCTGCTCCTTGAGTACAGGGACAACTCTTCCTCCCTCCTCCCGGGCCCCCACGTGTGATAGTGTATTTAATGTGTTTTTTTTTTTTATGCGACATTAAAAGATACTTCACGTCTTGCTCAGCCTTTGAGAAAAGTTTCAAATTCTTGTATTTGCTTGTTTTATATAAAACTATCTAATGTTCTTTGTATGTTTTTTTCTGTACGTAATGGGGGGGAGGGAAATTTACATATAAACAGTCCTAGTTCTACAACTTGTTATTTTTTTAATTATTATTTTTTATCGTCATTGTGAAGCTGTTCAGGGGCTTTAAAGTCCGTGTTCCTTTGTGGTGAAATAACCTCCTAATAGTTTGAGAAGTTGCCAAGAAGAAGAAGAGAAGCAAAACCCAAGTAGCAGAGCATGGATTCTGTGTTGTTTTCCATTCTGTCTATTACTGCCTCATTCAATAAATAGTTTAAAATGTGGCAACAGGAAGTGGAACTGTTCATCTCTATAGGAGCACTTGGCCCCTTGGAACTCTTTTGGGGTGGCTTGTTCTGCTTTGTGAAAGGTGCTCGTCCTCAAGCTTGGTGGTCTTTGAATGGCACTCCGTGATGCTCTGGAACCCAGTGAGGATAGTGAGCGGAAGGACTGGGTCAGGGCCTCCTGGCCAGCACCCGCCTCCAGAGCAGTTCCATTGAATTAGTTTTATAAACTGTCCTGGCAGTGCAGGGGCAGGTGAGGGGCTGGAATTTAATTTGAAAATTTCTAAAGATGGTTTGAAAACTCTACTCTGGAGTTCTTTCTTCAGGTGTTGCATTCCACGTTAAAAATCAGGATGGTGATGGTGCCTGCCCATCAGGGTTCCTTCCATGTGAATATTGTTCGATACTGCAGTGGATTATCCTTGACACAGAGGCCTCAAGCCAGTAACTGTTTCCTTAAGACCTCGCTTCTTGGCTCATTGCTTTCATGTGGCAGCTGCCATCTTTCCAGCTGCATGCCCTGTCACAGCCCTGGCTGTGGGCCCTTCATAACGCCCCCCCATAACCTTGCACCTCCGTGTTTGTGCCCACTCTGTGCCTTGGCCTAGAATGATTCCCTCACTACCTTCTTTGTTATTGGATGCTTCCTGGGTCAGTTTCCTGGTGATAATGATTAAAATAGTGGAATAAAGAAGACCAGAGGGAGGGTGGCTCAGCGGTTTAGCACCTGCCTTTGGGCCAGGGCGCAATCCTGGAGACCCGGGATTGAGTCCCATGTCGGGCTTCCGGTGCATGGAGCCTACTTCTCCCTCTGCCTGTGTCTCTACCTCTGTGTCTATGATGAATAAATAAAATCTTTAAAAAAAAAAAAAAAAAAGACCAGAGGGGTTTTCCTTGATGACTGACAGTGGCTCAATAAAGCTAGTGCCAGCTCTCCCCCTTCTTGAACAAATAGCATACTCTTGCCTATTTTCACTAGAGGGTGAATGGAAAAAGAGGACTGATTACAGCCATATCAACTGAACATCACTGCTATTGGCCACCTAGGAGCATCTGGGTTATCTGGAGTACTTCCTTATGGGGCCAGCCTCTCTCTGGGGGTGACTTACTATACAGTATATTCTCTTGGCCTGGCATGCCCCAGGTGCTGCCTTTTGAGCAAGCATGTTGAAAACTTTCTTTGGTGGGGCTCATGGAGACTTGCTTCTGTTACTGCCCGAGTCAGCAGCAGCAGCTGCTGCAGGGACCAGGTAGGTAAAATCGCCAAGTGCAGTGGAAGTAGCCCGGGTGGGAGAAGAAGGGAAGCATAGGGGCAGACAGGGTAGAGAGAATCTTCTAAAGAGAGCAGCCTCTCCTGAGTGTCCACAGATTACCAGCAAGTAGGAGGAATATGGGCCCTAGAGCCCCATCTCCGTAACTTTTCAGAGAAGATGGAGAGTTCAGATTTGTGAACATATCTCCTGATTTCAACAACAAATCAAAAATCCTAAAAAACAAAAACAAAACAAAAAAACTCCTTTACATACCCTGCAGGGGCTAAAAAAAAAAAAAAAAACACACACACACATCTGTATACCAGATCTGGCTCATACATCAGTTTTGATTAACTTGGTGTGCTAGCCTGCCATGTGTCAGATGCATACAGCCCGGCAGGTGCCCATGGGCAGCAAGATGAGACATTCGTATGAGCAGATCATTGCAGCCCAGGGTGATAAGGTGCCATCTGGATGGAGGGCTGTAGCAGAATGAGTTCTGTTATCTCCTTTTATCTCCTTAAGGATCCTCTGCGTTAAGTAGTTTATCATCCAGGCCGCAGACGAAGATCCGGTGCTCAACTGAGACTGGGCCAGGAATTCTTGGCTCTGAGTCCTACATTTGAGAAGTTACTGGCGATGCTGGTGACCGCTGGAGTTGTCTAAACTCAGATGAGTGAGCTGAGGAGAACCAGAAGGGCAGGGAAGAGAAGGGCTGCCCACCCTAAAAGCTCAGGCTGCCAGTGTGCCGTGGGCCTCATGCAGACCCAAGCCGGGTCATCGCAGCCACTTTGTGCATGGGAAAGGGCCTACTCGCCTTCCTCCCTCCCTGCAGCTCGTCCCCACTCCTCCACAATGGTCCGCAGCCTCAGCTCGGAGTGTGGCTAGGTTGTACCCAACACTGTGGGTCCCTTTGGTGTCAGCACACAACTGAAGCTTAATTAGTTGGAGCAGAGGCTACATGGGGGGAGGGAGAAGAGCCCGCATTTCCCCGTCCCACCCCCCTCAGTGGGCTCTGGTCAGGTCCTCAGGCCAGCGCAGCCTGTGGCAGCAGCAGGGCGCATACTCAGATGCCAGAGCCAAGGACACCGTCCGTGCACTCCCACCTTAACCTCTGCTAGTTGCTCCAGGTTGGCAGCTCTCAGAGAAGATCCACTCGGCGCCGTGGAGGCAGCACGGAGGGAGAGCTATGACTTACGGATTCTGGAATAGCAGGACAGGGTGGGTTTTCCCACTGCCATCCCAGTCCCCAACTCACTCTGATTTTGAGGTTCTCTTTCCCGAAAACCACTAGGCGGTTAGCAAACATTAATTGACTGCTGGTGTCTTGGGAGTGTATTTCTACAAAGACAGGGCGGGAGGGGAAAAGAACAGGGATAATGCCCATGTGCAGAGGGAGAGCCAGGCTTAACCCAGGGCGACCTCGGGAGGCAAGGACAAGCCTGTGTCCCAAGCCCGTGTCTCCAGCCCCATCCAGGGGCTTTCCTAGTTTCTGTTGAGAACTACGACTTGTCTACAATGAAGAGTATTTATATGGTATCAAAATAGTTCCAACCTATATAGCCCTTACAACGTGGCTTGTTTTGTTTTCGAGATTTACATATAGATTATCTTAATCTTTACAAAGCACTGTTGTTATCCCCACTTTACAGATGAGCAAGCAGACACAAAGAGGTTAAAGTCGCTTATTTAATATTTGGGAGAAAAGCCTAGGAACTATCTCCCCAAATTTAACGCACTTGAAATTAAAATTGTTGGTGCAGAGCAGCCGGGTGGCTCAGCGGTTTAGCGCCGCCTTCGGCCCAGGGCATGAGCCTGGAGACCCAGGATCGAGTCCCACGTCGGGCTCCCTGCGTGGAGCCTGCTTCTCCCTCTGCCTGTGTCTCTGCCTCTCTCTGTGTGTCTCTCATGAATAAATAAATGAAATCTTTAAAATAAATAAATAAATAATAAAAATAATAAAATTGTTGATGTAACTTAAATTAGTTGGGTCTCAACTCCAATTTCTTCTGAATTTATCCTTCAAATAAATACTAGTGTTAGAACTAGCAGTAATTAGGGGCGCCTGGGTGGCTCAGACGGTTAAGTGTCTGCCTTTGGCTCAGGTCATGATCCCAGGGTCCTGGGATTGGGTCCTACATCAGGGCTCCCCCTCTGGTGTGCTCACTCTCTCTCACTTGTTCTTTCTTTCCCTGTCAAGTAAGTAAAATCTTAAAAAAAAAAAAAAAAAAAAAAAAAAAAAAAACTAGCAGTAATTAAAAACTGCTCTGCACAAGACACTATGCAAAACGCTGTCCACCTTTATTTCTAACCTTCTCCACAACCCTATATGGAGGTTAGATTCCAGTTTATAGGTGCAGGAACTGAAACTTGGCAACTTCACAAGGTAAATGTGCAACTAGCAAATGGAGGGCTGGGGTCAAACTGATAATGTCTGTCTCTAGAAGTTCTGTTCTTTGTGCCAACCATTCAGAGGGCTGGTGTTGAAATACAAGCTGTACATCTGGATTCTCATCTTTAAAGAAATCTCCAGGGCAGCCCGGGTGGCTCAGCGGTTTAGCACAGCCTTTGGCCCGGGGCCGGATCCTAGAGTCCCAGGATCGAGTCCCACGTCGGGCTCCCAGTGCATGGCGCCTGCTTCTCCCTCTGCCTGTGTCTCTGCCTCTCTCTCCTCTCTGTGTATTCTCATGAATAAATAAATAAAATCTTTTTAAAAAATAAATCTCCAGGTGAGTCCTGAGCTTAGCCCACGGGCAGCCTCAGCCATCAGGTTTTTCTGACTGTGCCCTCGCTGTCGTGGGGAGTCGGCCACACACAAGCCGCCCCCCCAGCAGCAGGGCCTTTTTATCAGGCACACATACAGGGACTGGAATAGAGCAGACACTTAAAACATCTATCTCATCAGATGAGTGACCTTAGTTTCCAGTGGTTCCTTAATTAAAAAGTTCAACGAACCCAAAACATCCATTCCCACACTTTATTACTCAAAAATTTTCTGCAAAAGCCAGTGTTAACATTGTTAAATAATTTGATGTGAAAATAATGTTGGTGTTATTCCCAAGAAAAATCTGGCCCTGTGAGATCCTACCAAGGATGAAGGGTAGTGAAGATGCTGGGGCCTGGACATATTGGACATAAGTAGTTACATTATGTTGTCTTCATTAAAAGCCCTACAGCCTCAACACTGCAGAGATCAGTTGATGTTATAACCCAAGAAGCTCCGGGCAAGGAGGCCAAGTCAAACTTTGGCAAAGTAGTTGGATTGTGAAGTCGTCAGTTGGACCTAAGTCCCATACAGTCTTCGGCCTTGCATGGAAGAGAATTTTAAAGCTGGAAGGGACATTAGCCACCACCCCTCATTTAGGCTATGAAGATTAAAGCCTAGAGGTACAGAGACTCAGGACCACATGAGTGGAGCATTGCACCCAGGCTTCTGACTCTCGGCCAGGGTCATGCCCCCACTGCACTCTGGGCAACTCCTGCCCTGCCTGGCCTTACCATCTAAATTCTTCGAACCTTAAAATCTGGGTGGGGGGCACCTGGCTGCTTCAGTAGTAGAGCATGCAGCTCTTGATCTTGGGGTTGCAAGTTCAAGCCCCAGGTTGGGTGGCTTAAAATACTTAAGATTTTTTTAAAAGATTTTATTTATTTATTCATGAGAGACAGAGAGAGAGAGAGAGAGAGAGGCAGAGACAAATGCAAAGGGAGAAGCAGGCTCCATGCAGGGAGCCCGACGTGGGACTTGATCCCAGGACTCCAGGATCACGCCCTGGGCCTAAGGCAGGTACTAAACCACTGAGCCACCAAGGGATCCCCCTTAAAATATTTTTTATAAATTTGAATTTATACCTATGCATTTCCCTTACCAGAACTATTTTTATAGAGAACAATATTTAAGCCAAATAAAGAAACCTGAAATTTGCCAAAATTTACCAAAATTATTGCAGAAAACAGCCACAAAGGGATACTTTTTTTTTAACCAAAAAAATATTTTTTTAATTCATAAGAGAAAAGCTAAGTTAGACTAATCACATAATAGGATTCTTTACCCTGGCCCTCAGGGTTCTCATCTGTACAAAACATCAGTTAATGAACAATTCAGGGGACCCTATCACGAACAAGAGGCAGTAGCCCGGGTCCTTTGCTTCTCGCAATGAATTAGTTGAGTGGAGTGCCATTACTGTTCCACAGATGAGCTGTGCCAAGCTGGGCTGGTTCGGGCTGTGAGTCCCGGCCCCAGTGTCCTCCTGTGCTCACCAGTCCCAACACCTCTGGCAGGGCCAGACTGAATGAGGTGATGCCAGAAAGCACCTGGCATCAAAGCCTTTCTGGTGTGAAGAGCAAAGGTGCCTGAGTAAAGATGGGCTGCAAATGGAGCCAAGGATCTGGGTCTTCCAAGCCCAAATTCACGCAAATTCCGGACCCCCAATATGGAGCCGTGGTCTTGGGAGAGCAGTTGATTGGCCAGCTGGTGTCATGTCTCTGCCTCTCAACCAATCAGCGATGGCCAGCCGGGTTAGAGATGGTCTACCTCACAGATAGAGAAGGGGGCTGCAAGCGCCATCATTTCCACCTAAGCTGTGAGCACCCAGCTGGATAATGAAGCTGGGATCCCAATAGCCTCCCCTATTATCGTTGCCCCTACCAAAGAGCTCTCCTAGGTCTGTGAAAGTCAGTAAATTAGGGGACCACTGGGGTAACAGTGTGCCCCATCTGCACACTCCCACCATCCCAAGAACCTCAAGGTGTTTAAAAACAGCTTTATTGAGAAGTTACATGACAGGTAGCCTGTTTTAAAGGGAGCAGCTCAAAGGTCTTCAGTGTCTTTACAAAGTTGTCCAACCATCATATAATGTAATTTTAGAACATTTTCATTGGTTGTAACACTTCCCCCAAAAGAATGTGAAGGTTGTACAAAAGATGTATACGATGAAGTGAGAAAATGGGAATGAGAAATCAAGACCAAATAAAAGGAGGTCATGCCACACTTTTACCCACGGTGGGGTCAACATCAGTGATTTGAAGGCTTCCATTCCGCTCTTGACAAAGAGGTCATGTTACTAGAAGGAAGAAACAAATCATCAGTTACTCGAAAGAAACAAAGTGCTAAATACTTTTTTAAAAGTTGAAGGGAACTCCCAAGCTATCTTACATTCAGCATATTCCACATTTTTATACCCAAACCAGTAGCTGTGATTACTTCCTTAGTCTTCTAAAGCCTTGACCTTTACATTAAACACCTCAATTTTGAAGGTATCCTGGGAGGAGCTGAACTAATGGGGCATTTAAGTGTTTATTCACAGGTCATTAAGTATCCAAGGAAAAGGTAGGGGAGAGGCAAGAATGGTCAGCAGTAGCCAGTAAGCTACCTGAAATCTGAAATGCCTTCCCTGTCCTAGTAAGACCTGCAGGAACAGGAGAGGAGCCCTAAGGTCACCAGGCTTCAGGAAAGTGCTTGACTTCTGATTTCTGCTTCCCCTCTCCCAACTTCCCCATCATCATCCACCACCACCACCCCCTCCAATCCTGGAGGATGGGGATCAAGAGGAAAAGGGGAGGCAGCCGTCTTCAAGGCAGACCACATCCCCACCCCAAACACTACGGGTCCTGGAGCTTGGAAGAGGGTGGCACTGAACTCGAGTTTGAGACTGAAGCTTCGAGGGAGTTGGTACTTAATGATGAACCATGTTTATAAAATTATGGAATTCACTCAAAATGTAATTAGGAGCTGACAGGAGAGTCAACAGAACCTGGTCAAGGTAATGACTACAGAGAGTAAAACCACATTGTGTTCAAACCCGCCAAGGTGAGATGCCTTTGCCTTCACAAAAAGGGAAGACACTTGAAACCTGTGGGTTGGGCAGCCCCGGTGGCTCAGTGGGTTAGCGCCGCCTTCAGCCCAGAGCCTCATCCTGGAGTCCCGGGATGGACTCCACGTCGGGCTCCCCGCATGGAGCCTGCTTCTGCTTCTCCCTCTGCCTGTGTCTCTGCCTCTCTCTCTCTCTTGCTCTGTGTCTCTCATGAATAAATAAAATCTTAAAAAAAAAAAAAAAAACTTGTGGGCTTGTCAGTGGGCAGCGAAGGGATGGATCTGTTTCCCCATGAGGGGCACCTCTGTGTGCACCTCCCCTCCCTCCCCCATAACCTCCACAGATGTGTCCTTGCTCTCCTGGTCCAAAAGGCTTCTGGCCCCCAGCCTGCCCCCATGCCACCTTCTCAGGAGAGCTGTGGAGGCCAGAGAAAACCGGCTCCCAGAAGCTGGGGACCTCCAGGACAGGGAGGATGCCCCTGGGGGGTGGAGGACACACAGGAGACCCTCCACAGGTGTCTGCTGATGGAACTAGGCAGAGGACATGGCTGGGAAAAGGGGGCCTTCAGTGCCACCCCTGTCACTGTCCCCAAGGCCTGCTGCCTCCTATTCTAGCCAGCATCTCACCCTGAGAAACCCCAGTGGAGCCAGCGCAGGGGGAGGCTTGGAAGGTTCAGGTCAGGCTTCAGCCAACACTGAATGGCAGAGCTTGGAGAACCCTGCGTGGGACAGACCCACCAACAAAACCCCACAGCCTGGGCAGCCCAGGTGGCTCAGCAGTTTAGCGCCACCATCAGCTCAGGGCGTGATCCTGGAGACCCGGGTTCGAGTCCCACATTGGGCTCCCCACATGGGGCCTGCTTCTCCCTCTGCCTGTGTCTCTGCCGCCTCTCTGTGTCTCTCATGAATAAATAAAATCTTTTTTTTAAAACAAAACAAAACAAAACAAAAAAAACCCCACAGCCCACCAGCGCTGCCACTACAGTAATTGGCTTTCCAGTATCTGCTGTTTGAGAAAAGACACATTTGGATTCATAATGAATCCAAAGTTCTTCAATTAATTTGCAGCTTGTTCATCACAATAGCCTTTATGGACATTTAAGAAGCTGTGTGCACGTGAGCTGAATCACGTGTAGATCACAGCTCGGGAGTTTAGGGAGATGCGAGCGACCTGTTGGGCAAGGAACCAACTTCACCATAAAATGACGCTGACACAGTGACAAGGCATCTGCTTCAGCCCCCATCTAAGGCTGCCACCCACCTCAGCACCCCAACACCTTCGCTGGAATATTTCCAGAGATGGACAGCTTACCTGTCTTAAATCATGGCCTGACGGACCATAAGGAAGCTCTTCTGTGAGGCACAGTCCACCTCTCTGTAGGGCCCACTGCCTCTGCAGTCAGGGAAAACTGTAATGTCTCCAGTCCTCCAAATCATTGAAAATAGCATTCACATTCCCACCCAAAACTTTTCACAGCCAACATCTCCAGTTCCAGCTTTTCCTGGAGATAGGTGAGCAGTTTCCAAATATAAAGTAGACTAGATTTCCTGAATGATCCTCCCAGTGAAAACCAAAAAAGCTGAATTTTAAAATATCTTTTATTTTTTTAAGTAATCTCTACACCTAACATGGGGCTCGAACTCATAACCCTAAGATCCAGAGTCACATGGTCTTCCAACTGAGCCAGCAGGCTTTCCTAAAATACCTTTTATCCCCCCCCCCCCCCCCCGCGCAAAACATCTTTTAACTGTATCAGTGAGCAATTATGTAATCCGCAGAAGGGCATGTGGGCACCCGAAATGTCACTGGTCTGGCCCAGCTCTCTGCTGCGGCCCCTCTGAAGATGGTAGCAGACCCGGACCACGGCACAGACACAGCCTGCTCACCTCCCGTGACCTGCTTCAGTGCCATCCCAGGTGAGTGTGTGGTCAACCAAAGTCACCAGGTCTTTCTTCTGCCTTCATTTCAGTAGTCTGGTCTCCTCCCTTCTTACCCTGGTACAACTGAGGCTTTTCCCTAAACGTAGGGCTTTAACCTTCTTCTCTTCAGATGCCAACTCACTGCTTCTAACCTATCATCCTATCCGGGGGGTATTCTCGGCCCCGGCTCTGTTGACAGTGGGGCCTATCATCCTGTGTCCTAGGCACTGGGGGCTGTACCAGCTTCCCTGACCTCTACCCCTGGAGGCCAGGGACGGCCCCCACCTCCAGCTAGGCCAATCGAGTGTCTCCAGATGTCTCATGTCCCCCAGAGGGGCAAAACTCGCCCCCCACAGGGACCACTGTTCTGTACAGACCACAGGCCATCTGTATCCTGGCGGCAGAGGGCCGTGGACAGAAGAGGATCAGGCCTTGGCACTGACCTCCTTCAGCCTGAACAGACTGAGGGGCACATGCCAGGCCTCACGTCAGGTGGCTCTGGCTTGCTCCTCCTCCAAGCCCAGTTCAGGTGCTGCCTTTACTCAAAGCCCATGGGCTCCCCCTTCCCCGAGGGCCATTCTTCATTCGGGGCCCAACACCTGGCACCACCCGTTTGCACCTGCCTGGCGTCCACAGCGCCCCGCCAGAGGTCCGTGTGCCAGGACAGGCCCAGTCCACACCCATGCCTTTGCCACTAGCATCCAACAGGATTATCCGTCCACTCATGGCCGCTATCATATTCCTGCATTAAGGCTGGTCTTCGCAGGATGCCTGTCACATGTGGTTTTCATAGCGCTTTGCCGGAGGACACAGCATTTTGAAAGCTGTCACACCTAGAAGAGGTGGGGTCCCTGCCATCTCAGTCCTCAGGCAGAGCCACCTGCCTGGCCTTGACCCTGGGGCAGCACCATCCTTTGATCTTGGGGTCAGCCAAGAGCTGGGACTCTTAGGTGACTGGTAGAGGTGCCCAAGACAAGATCACATGGAACTCAATACCCTGTGGGATCCCAGGGTCTCCCTGTCCCATGCCAGGCACCTACCACGTGGTCCCAGGCCCCCAAGTGAGACAGACTGGCTCTCAAACAGCTTTCAGCTGATGGAGAAACCGACCCACCAGCAGACGCTTTCAAGTGAGGCAGCCAGGGCCAGGGAAGGGTGTGCTCTAGGCACTTGGGAGAGCTCAGGCAAAGGTGAGGGGGCCAGGGTCACCTGGGTGCCTCCGTGGTTGAGGGTCTGCCTCTGCCTGTGTCTCTGCCTCTCTCTGTGTGTCTCTCATGAATAAATAAATAGAATCTTAAAAAAAAAAAAAAAAAAGAAGGTAAGGGGGCTAGATGGGGATGTGCATCTCCTAGGGGAGCGTGAGAGGAAGCCCAGGGCAGTGAGAAGAGGGCAGATGCCTGGTAGGCCCAGTCACACGGGGTCTTGCCAACCAGGTAAAGCGCTTGGCTTTATCCTGGAGGCAGTGCAGGGACAGGCTTGTCGTGGTCGGGCTAGTGCAGGGGACCGTCAGGAGAGCAGAACAGGGAGCCGGGCCAGGAGCCAGCAGTAGTGATGGTGTCCAGGCCTTCCCCACCAGCCCTGGTCCTGGCTCCACCACTCCCAGCAACCACAGGACCCAGCAAGTCACAGCTCTGGAGGCAGATGGCCAGGGCTCAAGTTCCCTGCTTCTCACCAGGGTCATCGTGCCTCATGTCCTAACCCCAGTTGGCCGGCAGTTGTGAGGATTAATTGAAATCAGGAAAACACTGCATACAGTAAGTGCTAACAGATCAGTAGCTTTTACCATGACTAAATCTGTCCAACGCCCCCCAATTTCTTCTTTTAATTCCCCTCCCCACCAAGGCCCAGGAATAAACTCACTCTTGCCTGGTTGTCCCAGACCCAAAAGTAGCTGTTGGGCCAGGTGAAGGAGGTGGCGCCACCCTGGCCTGAGGCTCGGCTCACCCTCTCGGGCTTTGGCTGTAAATTCATTCTACCTGTGTCCTTTACCTGGACGTTTACCAGTTAGCGGTCAGGCGGGGCTGCGATTGTACAGACCGCCGACCGCGTATCCATCTGCCCGCTGGTGTGGCTACTAAAGCGCCTTCCTCTTCTGGTTGCTCAGGAGTTTCAGAATAGAGCCCGTTAAGATATGAGTGGATCCCTCACTCAGCTTCCCGGAGTGCGTTTCTAGGTACTTTCTCCCTCCAGTCCCATACCTCGGCCTGCCCAGGCCACCATCTCACCCTTGGATCAACACCTGTGCTCCTGCCCTCATCTCACCAGATCACATCCCCCTCTGCCTTTCCCAGGCTCCCACTGTCCTCAGGGCCAAAACCAAACATGGTCTGCTTCCCCCTGCAAAACCTTCACTTTCGCAGAGAGGCTTGCTTTCTCCTGCTCCCCAAGTTCCCCAGCTCTTCCATCGATTCCCCATCCCTTGTCCCTGCAACTGCGCCTCTCGCCCTTCCCCCCCTTGCCTGTTCTGATTACAGCCCCAGTGCTTATGCCCTGCCTGGTATGTAGTCAGTGCCTAATAAGTGCTTGACAACAGGAACAAACCCTCATCCTCCTCAGGTCTGGCACTTATCAGGTTTTTTAAGTGAATTGCAGCCTGTGGGAGGACAGTCTTTCTTCTCTTGTTTCCAAGAGCCAGAGGCTGAGATGCCCTCTTCTGGGGACGTACCCCCCACCTTCCTTATTCAGCCAGCTTTTCCTCAAAACATTGCAGCTCCCTGGAGTCCAGAGCCTGGAGTGAGCGAGGGAGGGCTGCCCGCCCTGCCCACCCATCAGCCCCAGTGGCTGGAACCACTCCCTCCCCTCTGAGAGCAAGTAAGGGGAAGACAGCTAGAGTTGCAGGGGATGCGGGTCTCCCAGGAGATCCAGGGGAACAGGGAAGGGCCTTTGCACTTCTATTTGTTCTGTTGCCTGTGGATCTTCCTCTCACACATGTGCGGCTCTAGTCCTGGGGCCTCTCGAGCCTTCAGCGGGCACAGGAAATGCCAGCAGGTCTGTCCACCACGCTGCCACCCATCCTGACCCAAGCTGGGTCCCTGACTCTCTGGCTTGTCTTGGGAGTTCCCACTGCATCCCGGGCTCTGAGACATTAGCAGCACACAGCAGAGCTGCAGCTAGAGGCCGAGGTCCAGCCCAGGGGCCCCCAAACCCCAGGGAGCCAGTCCTACATTTATCTGAGTGGCTTAAACACCCCCCCCATCACACCTTTGGGGCCGTTGTCTCATCCATCCCTCCACTGCTTCAGCAAGACTGCAGAGATGCCCATGGATACCCGGCCATATCCTCCCGGCCAAGAGCCGAGGGAGACCCACTGCCAGTGATTTGTGGAAGGGAAAGAGACCCTCCCCTGAGGCCTCAGGGCCCACCCTGAAAACAAAGCTGGGTGAGGGTACCTAACTCCAAATGTTCCCTCCTTCCTGAGCTCAGCCACCCACCCCGACTCCCTCCCTCTGGGCTGTATCTCAAGCCCTCTAGGTAGCACCCACCCACCCACCCACCCCCAAGGCAGAAGACAGCTTCCCAGCTGGCTCAGAGACCTGTGACCTCAGGGGGATGCAGGGAAACAGTGAGTGTCACTTCCAGCTGCACCCACCCTCTGCCACTGCCCGGCACCTGGGGGCCAGAGTCCCTCCCTCCTTCCCTGGGGGGCAGCAGGCCCAGTGCGGGCGGTGTGGTCCTGGCGGCGGCTGGCTGCAGAGCTGCCTGAGGAGGCCTCGCACCATAGTTGGCAAGTCTAGAACCACCGGATCCCATTACCTCACCAGTGTGAGTTCTACCATTGCCAAAAACGGCGGGAGGCAAGCGGCAGTGGTGGGACAGCCAGCCGGGGGGCTCAGAGGCCACCGCCTCTGTGAAAAAGAGACAGGGAGAGTTAGCGCGCTCTGAGGCCCAGGACTGTCGGGCAGGAGGCACCCTCCCCACCGCATGGACCGCATGGTCGCGTCCTTCCTGTTGGCTCCTGTGGGAGCCCAGCCCTCCTGGGCCGTGCCCCGGGCCATCCCACTGCGCTGGCCTGGTGCTGGGACCTGGTGCTGGGACCTGGTGCTGGGACCTGGTGCTGGGACCTGGTGCTGGGATCGTGCAGGGAGGGAGGGAGAACACTCAGGCGGCAGCTATGGGGACGCAGATCAGGACTGGGCCCTGTCCCCACCCACTCTCTGGGGAACCCTAGAGGGCCCCTCCACTTCAGACAGTCCTCTGCCTGGACTCTGGGGTTGCCAGAGCTAAAGTGGGCCATGCTCTACGATGTACTCATCACTCCATGTCACTGTCTCACTTGATCCAGGGAGACCCACCCCCCCAGCCCTGTCCTTCCCTGGGGCTAAAGCTCACCAGCTGCCCCACCCCATGGGGAAGAAGCTGACTTTCTGTACCGGTACTTTTCTGCATGGAGCCCCAGAGAGGCAAACAGCTTGCTGTGGCATCTTCCCTGAGGAAGGTGGGCCAACCCCCGGTAGTGCCAGTCCTCCATGACCA